TTGAATTGGACTTTGGAAGTATACGACAAACTGAATCTATAGAGTCTAATTGACCTATCCCACCAATCTCCAATAAATCACACTTTTCTTCTTCTAATAATATATGATAATCACAATAATATGTCTAGGAAAGTGGCCCTGATTAATTTTAAATGTTAAAATGCCAACAAAGATTCCTTCCATTATCCTCGGGATTATTTAATGCCATCACTGAAATGAGTAATACCTTTGCTGAGCTGGTGCAGCCCTTCGCAGTGTACAGAGTAATTTCATGGTCATTATTTCACTGGCCTCTCACCAGATGATAGACAGATTGCATTACTGTCTCCAGCTGACAGAAAAGGTGGCCGGCTCCTGGGCGCTCAGAAACATCACAGTTTACACCCAGCCGATGGCCCCGGGGATTCACCCGCGTCACCCGACTCCGGGGTTAAAATTCCTTCCAGCCTGTGGAGGGTAGCCTTCTATCGCATGCTCTTCCAAAGCAAAAAGACCCTGAAACAGATTCCAGACGCGGCATACAGGTACCCTCGCTGACACCGCCGAGTGTTCCGGGAAAACCAGTTTATGGAATCCCAGGTGAACTTCCAGGGGTGAGAGGTTGTGTTTCTGGGTGGAAGCCTCTGCCTTTCCGATGGATCAAAGTATTTGGGGTCACACATGACCCTGAGGGGCTACTCCTCTCTGCCCCATAGCGGGCAGAGTCCAGGGGAAGGAGGGAAGTGGTGAGATGTTGGTCCAGGCACACACTGCCCAGGCAGTGAACAGCTCCGGTGGTATCTTCTCTGCTTGTGGACACCCGTGCTTTCCGGATGGCAGATCAGCACCCACCCTGGGTTCCCCCTGGTTTCCCCCTTGGCAGAATGCAACAGTCTCTCCTTGGGGCTCCCTGACCACGCTGTATCGCAAGGTTTGCACAGCTCAAGCCTTGCACTCCGCCGGGGACTCACGGAGCCCAACCTCTTTTCCACTCCACAAAGACCCACGAGGTACCAGCCACACACTGGTCCTAGACAGCGTGGACTTGCTGGACGGCAGGGATGAAGCACGCAGTGCTGATAGGGAATGAGTCAATGCTTAGCCAAGCAAGGCGCTCGGGGAACAGAGAGGGGAGCTTGGGGTTCAAATGAAGTTTCCCAGAAAGCTATTTCTTATCTAATTATAAATAATTGATTTC